GCAATATTCTAGCTATATGACGGCAGTCTGTAAATAATCGATCGAGTCAGGACCAGACAATCCAGTGATTGACATCATGAGCATGGATCTACGCAATGGGGATACGATGACATGCATAGACCAAGTCAGCGAGTCTGACCATTGGATCCCGTTAGTCGCCTCTAACGACAAGCATAGTCACCTTTTATGGCCAGCATGGGTTGCTGAAGATCTATTCTACCCCGGATCTTCACAGATCTTTAACATGGGGTAGCGCACAGATACACACCTGTGTGCACCGGTGCCTGACTCTCTCCTCTCCACTCCCCCAACACCCATGTCTTTTATTTAGATGTGCTTCAGATCAGTGATCATAGGTGCAAAAGTATTGAATTTTTATACTGGGGTGAAAGAAATAGAGAGTTCCATATCTCTTATAGACATGAAACAGCCCATCATTTTAGTCAGTTCAGATCATGGATATGCCATACGGTAAGCTTACTTAGACGGTCAGCCCTTATGGTGAGCAAACATTCATTAAACAGAAATAGAAACTTCTTATGCTGCTTTTAGCAATATTCCAGCAATATCACCGATGGGTACATCAGAATTGGGAGAATCAAACCCGTGTCTGTGATGTGACAAGCAAATGCTTTACCCATTAGGCTACCCCTCAGGGAGAAGTAAAAGTCTTGAATATTCATTCTCCATAAATGAAAGGTGCATGATGATCACTAACTCTCCCAATGGTATAAGCTAGCATTAATCCATGAAGCCATCTTAGCACAACTTATGCCATCTTATTGCTAAGATTACGCACAGGGCACAGTGTCCCATTCCACAAAGCGATCCCAGAGCACTAAGACAACCATAATTCCCATACTTTAACACAGACATACGACAAACATAAGGGCATAAAAACAAAAGTATTGGTGAAATAGTTAACCATTACAACTCAACAAAGGATGAAACCTTAACATGGCACATACTGGTTACTTAAAAGACAAAAGCTAGAAAGTAAGCGATAGACCGGTTATGCATTTCAACCAAGCTAAGCCTCCATATAAATGGTCAGCATCTCTGCACGACAAGTATGAAACTCGCCTGTGAGGTGTGTCTTGTCTCAAGCACCAGGTTTACAACTGGAACACATCTGACTGACAAACTGCCTTCTTGTTATTGATTTTTCCCATTTTCTGTCACAAATGGTCCACATGAACGGATTAGCTGGTGTAAGGGAGACAACTCTATACCATTCTCCATGCTTTGAGTGGTGGTGTGGCTGGTGCAATCATTAACCATGCCAAGCACTTGGGTTCCATTCCCCACCAGAATCCTACATATACACTCACAAAATACAAGTGTTATTTTCAATTTGAATCATACACAGAATATTTTCAGAAGTAGTTGTCACTTGTTTATGATAGTGACTGGATGGCTAACTTATTTCATTATATAACACACACAAAATAATGTAGTTTTCAAAAGTGATTCTTGTAAAGTCTGAGGTGACATATCCAATACATGAAAATAATTACTTCCTACCTCATGCACTGATATTTACACATCTTGTCTGATGTACCCCTACATCCGCAACCATTTCATCCAAATAACATCTCGTCTTAATTTCAAGTTCTGCTACCATGCAGGATAGCGGAGCCCGTCCTAAAGTGGTCATGTTTTTATAAAATTGTAGAATATTTGTTTATTTTAATTTTTGGCTCAGCTTGCAAACAATTGCTAGAAAGATAATGTACTGGTACATCATGCTGGTGTACCAGGCAGGAAACAGGGGTACCCATTCGTGACCAACTCGTGTTATTCCGGGACAAGCCGAATAGCGACTCGTGCCCCTCTTGTGGCCATTTTTGCGACCGGGTTCCGTCTTAGCGCAAACGGGCATACCTAAAACAATTGTCAACTCGTTGTGTTATGGTTCACACATTTTCCCCATATATTATATACATATGTCAGATGCAATTTAAAGCACACCAGGACGTGCGGAATTATACAGTATGATTAAACACATTTAATTGTGTCTTTGGTATATTTTAGAGGCAAGACATATGTAAAATCAATAATTATTTCTGAGGGATTCTTTGACGAAGAACTTGAAATCATACGCGCATTCTGATTGGTTTGTCGTATTTTCGCACATAACATTCATCGATGGGGGGACGAGTCTTCTTGCGGGTTACGGAAAGGGGCGAGTGGTGACGAATGCAGGGGTACCATTAGTCCCCATGGTTCCTAGTAGGATGGCTTAGTTAGGGTTGCTGGCCATGCATCTATAGCCTGAGTTTTATATTGTGTCGTTGTTTAATAGTCTGTTCTTAATATTCCTTTCAAACTAGTTTTAAATACAAATCTAGTTACATGTTACTAGTTATTTTACTGTCATTTGATGACAGGGTTTCAGAAAGTATTAAACTCACTCATTCGTCAAACAATTGATGTTGAAGACGTAGTTACACACACTGAAGTGGAAATCATGTTTGAAGACAATGAGTGTGGACCACCCATATATCATACAGTGTTAAATGATTTGCAGCTTTGTCTTGAACAGAAACACACACACACACACACACACACACACACACACACCAGCAAACATATCTAAACTTACAACAAACATTAGACAATATTTTTTTAAGCAAGTAGGCATCGCACGATGTATGGAAATTATTTAAACAGTGAAAAATGTCAAACAAATGACGCCAAAGACTGAAAACTACAGGCATTCAATGGCAGGAAACTTGCAATTTATTAAACAATTATTTTGTCCTTGTCTTTTGCCGTAAATGTCACATGCATGCATGTCTTCTACAGCAATAGGATCCCACTATATCATTCAGTTTACACAAATAGAAAACAAGTCAGTGATAAGTGCCAACCGTTAACATGTCATTGATGCAAGTTTTACGGCTGTGATGACCTTTCTGTGGAAGAATGCCATCTATTGTGCATGTGCATCTAAAAGCAGCAAGGGAAACAAGAAACGGGGTGATCTTTACATGTGAACCCTGGAAAACAAACTTTTTCTTGTCTTCCACAATTAAGTTTCGAGCTGGGTTTTTTCTTGGATTTAAATTTTCTTTTGTGGGGGAACATTTTGTTGATGCAGGTTAAAGATATAATAGATGGTTCAATCCAAAAATCTAAAACACAATCATGAGAACCTACAGCATGGGTTATCATTAAACCAAATGTAAAACATTTAAATGAATACACACCTAAAATGAAATGATATAATACATGACCATTTTCACATATTATTTCGTACTAACTGTTAAATATTACATGTAATTACTAAAAGCACCTAATGCAAGCCGTTGTGTGTGGGGCCCCCAAACACCCTGTTATTTTATCAAGGCGACCAGACATGGCATCGATAAATCATAGAAACCATTACTAAGAAACGAACTCAAGGACATCCCTTACCAAAATGGTGGAAGCTGTCTATACCGCATTCTTACAAACTCTTCAAGAATTGATTCCTTGCATTCTTTATACTTTTATCATCAACACGATTCAATATTTTTTTTAGTTTTCATATTTGTTATTTAATTTCATCCTTTTTTTTCAATGATCAGCAGTGAGAGGCCAAGTTAAAGGGTGCCCGGTCAGCAGTATCTACAGCCTAGCATATCTAGGCCGGGATCTGCCAAACCAGTGGTTGATAGTGTGAGCATTTATCTAAAATCAAATCAGGTTACACCATCAATAAAAGCGGCCTGTGAAGATCCGGGGTAGAATAGGTCTTCAGCAACCCATAATGGCTTGCCATAAAAGGTGACTATGCTTGTCGTAGGAGGCGACTAACGGGATCGGATGGTCGGGATCGGATGGTCAGGCTCGCTGACTTGGTTGATGCATGTCATAGATCCCAACTGCGTGGAACGATGCTCATGTTGTCAATCACTGGATTGTCTGGCCCAGACTCGATTACTTACAGACAGCTGTCATATAGCTCAAATATTGCTTAGTGCAGCATGAAACGACAAACAAACAAACAAATCAATAAAAGCACTATCCACACAGATATTGTGGCTGATGTCCTCCTACTAAACTCAGAGGGCTTGATTCAACCTCTAAATCTGCCTTGGGTTATCATTGCCACTGTGTTACCAGTGAACCAAATGAAACAGGTACTTGACGTGTGGATCAACCTTTCTGCAAACACATTTCATAGAAGGGAATAATTTTCTAAAATTTCATCACTATTTTGTAACATGGCAATTTAGAATAGCATTTAAATTATGTCATACCAACTTAAGATGTCAGTAAAATGTCAGAGGAAACATAAAATATGTCAGTGTATAAATGTTTACCACCAGAAGTGATGCAGGTCTTAGACGCTTATCACTTCGGTGAAACCCATGAGCACGGGTATGGTGCTGACGAACCTAGAAACAAAATCGAACTGGGATTTGAACCCACAATCATAGGTTTTAGGCGTGCCCAAGGGACGCAACTCTGCATGGCAAATCTGGCCACCCGTGCCCCCCCCCCACAGACATAGAACCGATAGTCAGGGCAAATCTGGAAATCAAACCCATGACCAGCAGATCCTGTCTCCTATAGGATAGACAACTCACATTAGCACCTTAGACCACTGGGTCACCATAACAAACAGGGATCCATCCAGTAGTTCTCAGGTCAAAAATCAGCCTCTGATCTTCGGTAAAAATTCCCAAATGTGGAATAAAAGAATTCCAAACTCAGGTAATCATAATTGCAACTATTGTAACTAATATTTTAATTTTCATAAATGTGACCTGTATACCAATGATAACAGGACAAAGAGAAAATTGGGGTAATGCTTAGTCTTGCAATGAATGCAACATGGAGACACATCTGAAGTTAACAAATTATCGACTTTAAAAGGTTCTCAATTTTTGAATTAAATCTGTCTCTTTCCAAATTTGCCTGGCATAGGCAGTAAGTTCAAAATCCTAGATAAATCTCTGAGTAACCTCTAGAATACTGAAAAAAACATAATCAAGGCAAAGAAACCATACCTTTGTGCTCTGACAAAATGCCACTGGCCGTCGTAAAGTCTTGAATCATTATATCCAATAACTGCTTCTCCACTTCCCAGGTTATAGCGTAACTGGAGTCCGCCATCAACAAAACCTAGAGCCACGAAGTCACTGGACGACTCCATTGCATCTTGTCCACTCCAGAACAGCAAACCATTTTTACCCTTTGGTAAAATATGCATCTGAAGATCTATTTTGTTACCCGTTACCCTGAAACCAAAATAGCAGAGGAGTTTTACACATGTTGAGGCTATGACTTGCTGTCCAGTTATATTTATATTCATAACATTTGTTACATCTGACCACTTTCAAAATGCCATTGTGTGTTCATACAAAAAAACAATATGAAAAAGGGTCATTGTGCCCTCCTAATGAATACTTTTATGAGCTCAGATGTTTATGCATCAACAGAGTAAGACTTTATTGAGTGTCCAATCATACTGATTCTATTGTGATATACACTAGGGCTGGGACGGTAACTCGGGTACTCGGGTCGGGCGGGTCCTGAGTAGAACCTGAGTACCCACAGGACTACCCGGACCCATGGTTAGTCAAGTGATACATTGTTTAATGATAAAAACTCACTATAGCTCAGTGGTTACACTACATGTTGCTAATGTTTGTATTTCTTTCTGACGATGCACACATTCCATTTGACTTGTATATGTTTGAGTAAAGATAAAGCTTCAGTGAACTTCAGTGTACGCATGACCTGAACATTTGATGCATGTATCTAAAAGGTTTGGGCCAAGGCTGCGGTAAAACAATTCCCAATCAGTAAATATTGACTCATCCCAGCCCTAATATACACTGACTAACTTTGAAAACATTTATTCAATTTTTGTATTATTTGGCAAAACAGTCAAAAATAAATTTGTTCTGGATATTTGGCGTGAGATGGTCAAACGAAACAATGTCGTCGTTCATGTTCGAATCTCATTCAATTTGTTTGGAGATGGAATTGAGAACAAAACACATCATGTCATTTTGAGTTAAAGTTGATTATTTGTTTTCACTGTGTGTCACATGTGGCAGAACAAAGTGAACTAATACAGCCCTACAAACAAAAATATATTTTTCTTGTTCCTTTACAGCGACATTTCATTCACATTTTTATGCATTATTCTTCAGAAGGACATCTCACCTTTTCAATATTCTTTTGTCCGTAAACATAAGGAAACTAGTTCCAATAAACATCGGTTTTTCTGGCAGTTTTTCCATCTCTGAAACAGATCAAAATAAAACACTCACAAGGTATCCAGACTTGGTGTAGGGGAGATAACTCCTTCATAGTGCCTTTCAGAAACATGCAACACTCAAAAGACTACACTACAATGATTGATTTACACTTTTGTCTGAGTCACACAAGCTCAGCCAGGTGATATGATACCCTGCCAAAAAATCTAACCCCGAAAAGTTTGCAGGGAAAACAAGATGGCATTGGCCAAATATACAAATCGGCTTTTTTCTACCCTCTCCGATGCTATTAACACATCATGACTCTAACATGAAACCTTCTTTTATTACTGTGAACAGTTTATGCCAGGCCATAAGGAAAGAATGTTATATTATCTCCACCTGTGCAGTTGGTAGAACCTGACAACAAAGCCTTTCCTATCTAGCCTAGAGCTTTCTTATGGAGAAATGTCATAATGATTACTGAGCAGAGAAATACACAGTCAGTGTTTGGCCCTGTACTGCATGAGGTTGGTGGGGTAGCCTCGTAGTTAAATCGTTCGCTCATCACGCCAAAGACCCGTGTTCAATTCGACACTTGGGTACAATGTGTGAAGCCCATTTCAGGTGTCCCCTGCCGTGATATTGCTGGAATGTTGCTAAAATCGGCAAAAACCCAACTCACTCACTCACTCACTGTAGTGCGTGACACATGTAAGCATTACTCACTATCTTCACAGTTAGTGTTGGCGTATCCCAGAGGGCAGTAGCAGGTGTAGACGTCCCGCTTGGGCCGACACTCCCCGCCGTTCATGCAGGGCTCGCCGGCACACGGGTGGCTACAGGGCTCAATGTTGATCCCGTCCACCATCTCCTTCATCAGTCGCACGGGCCTCTTGTTGATCACAACCTGAAAACAACAGGTCAGGTGCAACGGTGTTTAACATCAATTTCAAGACTATTGCTGTCATATACAGCGACTGAGGAGCATGTGTGCATGTGTATCAGAACAAACAAAATAATAGTAAATATATAATAATTCAATTTTGACATAAACTGGGTTGGCGGATCCATGTTTCAACAAATGGTAATATTTTGCCTAAACCTGAAAGACACAAGTTGCTACTGTTTCTAGAAGAGTACCATTGTGGGTATGTGTTTCATGACACCTACGGTACATCATGTGTCAAGGTCATTACTCCACTTACTACAGCAGTGTGTGTGTATGTGTCTGTCTGCTTGTACAAGTCCCGACTAATGCAGATTTTATAGTGCTAGCCCACTTAGGTACCATGCCGCAGTTTAACATGAATACCCAACTCAGACACAGTATACTGACTCCGAGCCAACCAGTCCTTGTTTCAGCCCCTCAAACCCCGAAAATTCCGCTCTACCACTTGACCACAGAGGCGGTCCCACTTACAACAGCAGACCAATTAGTGACTGAACATGCATGTTTTATTTCAACTCAACTGCAGTTCATTTGAAAGGTTTCATTATGGAATACATGGTGTACCAAACCTAATCTGACGCATACATGTATTTGTAGAGTACTTAACAAAAGTGAATGTACGTGTTATTGGATCTTATGGCTATTGTCATTATACTTATGCTGCAACGTGAGACTGTATTGCTGTATTGTTAAACAGCAAATGCAACTGTGTAATATCATTAAAAGTGTAAGTAAGTATACTATCGGTACTCCACTTTTGATAGACATAATCAGATATGTCATTCTATCAAAACACACACTTGACATATTACAAGAAAAAGTTTTTGTCATGGAAAGATTAAACGTGGAGTAGTATATTTCCTGCCTACCCAGATCTATTCAGACTACAGAAATTATTTAAAAAATGCTCACAACTTTGTTTATACTGAAATATGAACCGGTATTGCTTGAAGCTGAATATGACATTTACAAGACATCGATTTGAATTGTGTCCCCGCAAAATTGAATGGATTTTCATCTACACCTTCAATGAGTTATCTCCCTTATTCCACAAGATCTTCCCACCTCCACAGGCAAAATCTAATTTAACATTGTAAAAGGCGAATCAAGTTAGGGTATTGATATGTTGTGAACAAAAACCTCTGACTAACAATGCCAAACAGAGTGCACTGTGAAAATAAAACACAAGGTGAGTGTGACATTACAGCTTAGTCAAAGCGCTACGATTGCCTTGTGAAAGGGGCCCTTGACCTATCGCTATGACTACTCATGTGGTACTTAAAAAACGATCAGGTTCCTCTTCCACAAAGTGATCGTAGCACTAAGATGATCATAACACCCATACTTAAACACACATCAATGATAGTCCAAGTGCTAAGATATCTTTTGGGATTTTGGTCCTGTGTCAAAAACATGCTTCATTTTACAATATTTCCCTCACAGTAATAAACAAGCCCCGAGAGTCACAGCTAGCTCGGCCTCACCTTCTGTATACAGCCCACAAAAGAGTTGGTCATGTTGTGGTACTTGGACACCTCGTCGTAGTTGCGATGTCCGCCAATGAACAGCCCCTCCAGTAGCGTGAGCTGCGTGTACGCCCCCTCTGCCTCCCCCTCGCTGCGGGGCTGGTCGTCCACCTCCAAGATGCCCTGCAGACCGGTCCGAGATGCTCGCGCTACGTGCCAGTGGTCCAGGGACACGGGTAAATGACTCCTACAAAGGAGGGTGGTTAAAGAGAATTGAAATACAAGCAGCATCCCCATCAAACGCTTACTTTGGGTACTTACAGTGATAATACTTAAAAATTGCTGATGTTAGCCAGGCACGTTTATGTCATTGTCATTCTTGATGCACAAAGGAGTTGGACTGAGTAACATGTACTGTCAACAGCCATCATCTCAAACAGTCTGCACAAATTTTGAGGTAAGCCAATATTTAAGCTTTGAGAAACTGAAATCACATTTATTTCTGCATATATCTACTAACTCTGAGTAATATAGACACATAAAATTAAGATCCCTGTTTAATTTTCAATTTCCAAGTTTTCACACTTTTGGAAAGGGTTATTAATATTCAAATCATACTCTAAATAAGAAATACTTAAAATTTGAGATTCTCAAAATATTTTAACTTCCCACCTCATAACCAAATAGTTTAGAATTCTCAAAATGCAAGTTCAACTGCTCTCTTCCTTTAAGAATCCTTCAGTACAACAGTTGACATAAAACAAAACTTGGAAATTGGAAACATTTTTGACAAACATTTTCAAACCCGATCATTTATCATGCTCACGATGCAAGTTCAATTTCACTCCAGAGCAACAGTAATTAAAATTATTAAGTGACATTATCCAGAAAAATGAATATATTTTCACATTCTTCTGACCTTATGACAGCAGGACCAGTCCCCAGGTCAAAGCTAAACTCGATGATTCCGTCCCTGAGAGCAAGGGAAATGAAATCTCCCTTCCTGTCCTTGGTGTAGCCATTGTAGAGGATGGAGCCGTCTGGCATCATGGGCTTGAAGACCACCTCGATCTCGGTGTAGGACAACACCCGGCGGTTCAGCCCCTCGTACTGCAGGTAGGAGTGGCCACTGAACCGGGGAATGTGGACATCGTGTCCTACAAGAGAACAAACATGCCAGCAGAGATTCTTGATGATAAACATCAAGTGACAACTACTTATGGATAGCTAACAGTGAAGAGGACTTCACTTGAAAATCTTTACATTTGATAGTGTGATTGCAGCCAAAATACAAGAATTATGGCATTGATGTAATAGAGGTTTTGTATTCACAAGAATTACTGTTTTAATTCTGTATATTTTTGTTGCAGAAAGGAATGATTGTGATTCCAACATACAAAGCCTAGCTGCTATAAAAGGCTTCTGAACACGATTAATATTTATAAGGAACCTTTAGATTCACCATCAGATGTCTGCATCAGATAAGGCTGCCAGACAAATACATATGACTATGTTAGTGTCAGTCTATTGTTACATAAACCAAGACACTTGACTTTCTTCAGAGTCATTAAATATGATACAAGATCACTGGAAGCTATTCCATGAATGTCCAAGTACCATCAGTGAAAAGCTGAAGTTTCTGATGTTTGTCCAACTACTAAACTGCTACATGACTTACTTTTCTCACAGAAGTCTCCAGCTGAACCGAGAGGACACAGACAGACGTGGCTGTCAGCGGAGCGAGGACTGCAGGAGCCGCCATTTTGACACACGATGTTGTCACAGATTCCCTCGCTACACTCACCTGGAGGCAAAGGCAGTAGCATCACAGCAGGTTCTAACAAGTGAACATTTACGTTCCATCTAAAAAAATATAACATTGTTAATACCAGTATCTCAGAGCTCGATCCCATTTCACAAAACCAGCACCATTTGTTTTGAGAGATGTTCAAGTGGTGGACCAAAGGATGGCATTGTGGTTGCTGGCTTTGATTCCCCAGAAAGTGACAATATGTCACATCTAGTATTCACATCCCCTGATGTATAATCATAAGTTTATGTTTGTTCATTTATTTGTAGTTTTATGCTGCACTCCGCAATATTCCAGCTATATGACGGTGGTCTGTAAATAATCGAGTCTGGACTAGACAAACCAGTGATTGATATCATGAGCATTGATCTATTCAATCGAGATATGATGACATGCAATCAACCAAGTCACCAAGCCGACCACCCGATCCATTTAGTAGCCCCTTACAACCAACATAGGTTGCTGAGGACCTATTTTTTTACTCGAAATCCCCACAGAGCATTAAAGTTTAAGTACAATGACAAAACATGCACAATGGCCCAAAAGTTACCTCAACAAAGATGAGTGGCCAGTACTTACAATACAATTCTGCATTTAAAGACAACAACAGCAGTATATATCCATATCACTGCAAGGCACTACAGCTGTTGGCATTGCATCATGATGCTCTTGAAGAAAGCAATCATATTTCCAGACAACTACTCACCAACATTGAGTCCGAACTGGGCGTCACCAATTATCTCCCCCTTCCTCATGTCGTACTTGTAGCCATTGATGCTCAGCTCCTGTACACAGCCGACATACTGCTTGGCCGTGCCGATGCGGTTTGTGATGGAGGACATGTTGGCGTAGCCGCCCAGGAACAGGTGGAGACGCAGGGTTATACGGGTGAACGCGCCCTGAAGCATTGAAAATACATGATGCTTAAAACGTAACAAAATTTGGGTAAAAACAAATTTGATTAATCCTCATGGTGACATTGCTGTGATCGGCCTCTTTCTTGTGAATGTAAGTTTGGGGGAAAAGAAATGACGAATATCCTTTTGTGTCCTTCAGAAGTAAAAGTTACAACATTGAACTGCATTATATTTATATCCTGGTGTTTGGGGACAGTGTAATGTGTCACACATTATAGATGACAAACACTGTGATGAAGAAATCCATGTAAATAGTCCTGACAAGTTAGGTGTGTATGCACGTGTGAGTGTGTGTGTGGCTACTTGTACTAGTCCTGACAGATGTCGATTTATAGTGCTAGACCACTGAGAAACCATGCCACAGTTTAACATGGATACCCGGCCCACTCAGACACAGTAAACTGATTCCGAGCCGACCAGTCCTTGTTTTAGCCCCTTAATGCCGAGATCCAGGCATGGTAACAAGGAGTACCATCTTTTAACGTCTTTTGGTATGACATGTCCGGGGATGGAACCCCGGACTTTCCGCCCTCTGGGGGCATGCTCTACCACTAGACCACGGAGGTGGTCAGTCCTGACAAGCCAAGGTTTATAATCATGTTATATCATGACAGCTGTAGCGCTAAGATCGCTTTATGGAACGGGGTCCTAGCCATGAAAATATAATTCACAAGATTCCCAATAGTCCCAAGGATCATGTTTGGAAAAATCTCTGACCTAGCTAAGGGATGCAACTCTGCACACCGATCTGCAGTACCTTGTACGACTGGACCACCTCCTCAGAACAAACTGAACAAGGGCAAAAGTGAGCGTGGCTCACTAATACACCCGACCCACCTAGTGTGTCAGTAGTTTCAAATAAAATAATGGATAGGGTTAGGGTTTGAAAAATTCATAAAAAAATGGAAAATTAATAACTGCACCCCTCGATATGACACAGATTATTTGTACTAAGTTTGAGATGAATCCAGTGAATAGTTTTAGAGAAATTGCGCGGACAAAGTTTTCGGATGGACGGACGGAACCTTGGTGTAACTATATACTCCTGACCTAAAAGGTTGGGGGTATAACAAGTATCAGCAAAAGGGCCCACCTGTGCTGTGCCCTCCACAATGTCCCCCTCATTAAGCTGCAGGCCAGCTCCATTCTCCTCCCTCTGCACCGTCACCTCGTTCCATTTGCCCAGAGTTACCTCCCCTAGACTGCGCAGAACACCGATTCCCGTGCCACAGTCAAATCTGAAACAAAGAAGGAATAGTTAAGGATGGTGTCATTATCACAAATTAAACAACATGTTTCTCATTTGCAAAAAACAATACTATTGTTAACCTCTGTGCTGCATTTTAGCAGGATAATAGGTCTTCACCATGTGCGATCCTGTAGAGGAAATAGAACCCAGGGACAAGTAGAGGTATATATTAACCACTGGCCTACTATACAATCCTATCAGACAAGAAATACTTTACAATTGCTCAGTAAAGACTTTGGAAAAAGATTCCATTTCCAACATTCCAAATGTTTAAATATTTGATGTAAATAGACCTGTACTTCAGACCAGACTATAGTTGTCCTATGTTTTATGGTTGAGGTCACCCTAACTTTAGCAATGTCAAACAGCAACCCCCAACTTGTTAATAGTCTGGATGTACCCTGTCTGATCGTGTCATCCATAATGTCTTTTTAGAAATAAATTAACCTTAAAGAAAACAGACATTTCTAAAATCAGATCAAACCATTGTCCTAACCAATATTTTTGGTTCCTTTGTAATAATTACATGTATGTTTGAGTTAGTGAGTGAGTGAGTGAGTGAGTGAGTGAGTGAGTGTGGTTCTACGCGGCTTTTAGCAATATTCCAGCAATATTCCAGCAAATCACGGCGGGGGACACCAGAAATGGGCTTCACACATTGTACCCATATCGGGAATCGGAACCGAACCCGGACCTTCGGCGTGACGAGCCAACACTGTAACCGCTAGGCTACCCAACCACCCCCATGTATGTTTGAAAAACCCTAAAGGAAGAGAACTCTGTGCCTCTGTGGTCTTGTGGATGAAGCGTTTGCCCATATAGCGGGAGGTTGGTGGTTCGATTTCCGGGTATGTAAAACCAAACAACTTCATTTAAAGGTGGCACCTGTTTTTACACTGCCTGGCGATCGGCATTGAAAGGACTAGACGGTTTAGAGACAGGACACTGTGTTAGATCAGGGAATCCACGCACACGCAAACACATAAACTTGAACGTGATGAAACTGATGTTAAACCCAATTTACGTCATCTCACCTCATCGTCACAAAAAATATATTTGATTACAATATAATCATTAATGAAGCAAGAATTGTATCATTAAAAAGTTTAAATGGATAGCCACCAGCAAGAAATATATTCACGTATTCAAGGACATGTATTCAGATTTATTTCCTGCTTCCTTGACACAGATAAACATTGCACCATTTTCCACAATAACAACACTATTAAACTTCTCCCTGTTTATCGTTCAGCTCTCCTGTTTCTCACTCCCGAGGGCGTCCATAATGGTCCATTAAAAACACATGTATGTAAATTCTAGCCGTAATTATTCCACTGCCAAAAGTTATTTCCACATAAACTATATCCCTACAGCACTCAATCCAAGATAAATATTTTATTGCCAAAGGACTGAGTTAAGGCAGAACTATGCATCAAAGTAAGGACGAACAACCAGCGTATCACGGAACAAAATGCAGTACTCAGCAATATTCCAGCTATATGACCATGGCAACCAGCATGCCACAGTACAGAGGGCAGCACTCAGCAATATTCCAGCTATATGACCATGGCAACCAGCATGCCACAGTACAGAGGGCAGCACTCAGCAATATTCGAGCTATATGACCATGGCAACCAGCATGCCACAGTACAGAGGGCAGCACTCAGCAATATTCCAGCTATATGACCATGGCAACCAGCATGCCATAGTACAGAGGGCAGCACTCAGCAATATTCCAGCTATATGACCATGGCAACCAGCATGCCACAGTACAGAGGGCAGCACTCAGCAATATTCCAGCTATATGACCATGGCAACCAGCATGCCACAGTACAGAGGGCAGCTCTCAGCAATATTCCAGCTATATGACGGTGGTGTGTAAATAATCAAGTTTGGACCAGAAAATCCAGTGACTGTTTCTGCGTCTGTTGTTCAATGCCACACTCAGCAATATCCTTGCTATATGACGGGGGTTATTAAATAATCGAGTCTGGACCAGACAATCCAGTAATTGATATCATGAGCATCGATCTACGCAATTGGGATACGATGACATGCATCAACCAAGTCAGCGGGCCTGACCACCCGATCCCGTTAGTCGCCTCTTACAACAAGCATAGTCCCCCTTTACAGCAAGCATGGGTTGCTGAAGACCTATTCTACACCGGATTTTCACAGGTCAAACCAGTGATTGATACCGTGAGCATCGACCAGGGTCAGGGTAAGATGACAATGTTTGTATATATTTCGGTTTCTCTCTTTCTCCCTTTCTTCCACCCCCTCTCTTTTCAAGCCCATTACCCCTCAGCTACATGGGCTTGTAAGAGCATATTACAAAATCATGGCTGTTCTATATGTATATAAAAATTGATTAAGAAAAAGATGACGCAAATCAACCAATTCACCAAGCTAACGATCTCACAAGTTACCTCTTACGACAAACATAGCTGGCTGGGTACCAGTTCTAACCATGAATCCCCATGGGAAAGCAGTGTCACCACTGGATATACATCTTGTGAGTGAGTGAGTGAGTAGGGTTTAATGCTGCTTTTAACAGTATTATTATTATATTGTGGCGTGTCAGTTTAATGTGGGAGGAAAGCCCGAAGTGATGCAGGTCTCAGACGTTTACCACTTCGGTGAAACCCACGACAAACCTAGGAACTTAATCGGGCCGAATCGTGATTCGAACCCACAATCATAGGTTTCAGGCGTACCCAAGGGATGAAACTCTGCAAAGCGATTTGCAGGGTCTTAGACGACTGGGCCACCCGTGCCCCCGATACATATCTAGGTACAGGGGACCTATTGCATTGATGCATCTGAGTTTAATCCTGATTTCAAAGTACGCTAATAAATCTACTCTTGACAATATTAACCATGGTCGAGCCATGCCCTGATGAAACGTCACACAAAAGACGCAAACTTATTCCTGAAAGATAGAGAGGAATAAAGAAACAATGGACTGCCCTAGTTTCAAAATCAAAATCTTACGCACATGATTCTTATCAACACAATTTTAAGCATATCCTAATCCCTCCTTGAAATTACCCGTCAGTCAAATTACCCAAAGCAAACTCATGTCAATTTGAGTTATTTTCGGTACAAATCATTAATTTGCTTCAATCAAGCCAATAAACAAGTTAAGGTTCAAAGTCGAGATTGCCAAACTGGCTTTCCCAGATTCTCCAATCAGTGCTGAATGCTCCCCGTTCTGCTTAATTGAAACCAGTGACATAGAAAAAGATTAGTTTGACACGCCTAAATTGGATTCAATAAAATGTGGTACAAAAAATTTAACAGAAGCGGAAGAGCCCATGTAAATGGCTACCAGATTCAATAAATCAAATTGTTTAAAACGCACCCTATGGAATTAAAAGAAATAGTGGAGGCCCATCGGAATAAATTCCTTCGACATTGAAATCAATCTTGGTAATGGCAATTACAGCTGTACAATAAATACTTGTAAACCAAGATTAAGGACTTTCCAACAGCTGACAAGTGTTTCAGATAAAAAACTGGAATGTCCCACTAAATTCAAGATCAAACAAGCAAGGGAGAAACATGTGTCTGAGTCAAGTTCCACTCATGTTCTATGTTGTGTGAGCATCAGGGGAGATCAGGGATCCAAGGAGACAATAGAGGCTTCATTTGATCTTTCTGACTTGTTTGTTTTGTTTATTGTATATATCTTCTCTGTCTCTTGTTTAACGTCGCACTCATCAATATTCTTGCTATAAAACGACGGTGTCTGTAAATAATCGAGTCTGGACCAGACAATCCAGTCATTGACATTATGATCATCGATCACACACTTGGGATACAATGACATGCATCAACCAAGTCAGCAAGCCTGACCACCCAATCCTGTTAGTTGCCTCTTACGACAAGCAAAGACACCTTTTACGTCAAGCATGGGTTGCTGAAGACCTACTCTATCCCGGATCTTCACGGGTCCTTTAACCAATTTTAAGCATGTACTGTGGAACAACTCCACACTTACTGCTCATTCTCAGAGGGACTCCAGGGCAGAGTAGGCTATCAGCATCCTTATCACTGCAGTGAGTGAGTTGGGTTTAACGCTGCTTTAATAGTTTTCTGGTTATATCACGGCATGTCAGCTTGTTACAGGAGAAAGACCGAAGTGATGCAGGTCTTAGACATTTACCACTTTGGTGTTTACACATTTAATGGCATGGCAATTAGAATGGATCTTGTGTGGACATGTAGTTCTATTTATCAAATGTTAAGTTCAAGAAAAAAATTCTGGTTACCAAAACAACGTTTTCATGTGCAATCCCAAAGTTTAGATCACCTCTGTAAGTTGAACACACAACCTCAATTGGGAACATATATTTACGCAACTTTGTGTTCTTTACAAATTAGTGCTATTCCTTTCCCCCTAAAAAATGTCCTCATCAATTTGCAAAATAAATCCGTGTCACTTTTTGTTCGTTACACATTATGGCAACTCCTGTCCCCAAAAAATAATGGCTTAAAATACCAACACATCTCTGTCAAGTGCATGGCATGTTTTGTAGTCTGCCCATAACTAAATGTTTGGCATTGGCTCATTGCATGAAACACACAGTTCTAACCATCAGTAGTGGGAAAAGCCTGCATTTCAAATGTTTAATGTCAAACAGAAAATAGCAATAAACATATCAATTATTCTTAGCAAAATGAAGTTTATTAAAATCTAATTCCAAAAGATGAGCGTGTAGATGAGGCTTAATTCTGAAGTCAGGTTGCTTTGGTTTGTTGTATAATGCTGCACTCAGCAATATTCCAGCTATATCTGTATCTGTAAGTACTCAAGTCTGGACCAGACAATCCAGTGATTGACATCAAAATTAGAAATAGGGGGCTCTTATTAGAATATAATTTTGGTGAGATAAAAAACAGAGTTGAAAGATTGTTAATTTTGTGGTTTATGCCTCACAGCCTGAAATAATATAAAAGAAGATTCTGTGCGAATAATACACGATA